TTCCTGGGTCGGCTCTGTAGGGCCTTTTAAGGTTGGCGGCTTAGGGTTTAGGGTTTGGGGGTTTAGGGTTTGGGGTTTAGGGCATTTTAGGGGTTACGGCTTACAGGGTTTATGTTTGGTGGTTTCTCGGGTTTATGAGTTTTGCACTTGGGATTTTGTGTGTTAGGGTGTTACAGCGATAGGATTTTAGGGTGTTCTGGCGTAACCCTGCAAGACTGCTTCAACTTGTATCCTAAGCCTGACCAATGACTTCAATGTTCGGTGCTTTGGATATTCAGGGCGGGCTGGAACAGTAAAAGGTATGTGTGTATGTATGCATCTATCTATCTATTTGTGTATACATTTTTTGCACACATGTATACATATATGTGTATGTATACCTGATATATATATATATATGTATATATATATATATATTTATTTATTTATATTTATATATATATATACACAGACTTAGACAGTCAGGTATATAGAAAGAGGAGATAGAGAGAGAGAGAAAGACAGAGAAAGAGAGAGACAGTCACACCACATCACACCACTAAACCCGGCGGTTTCTGTTATGCAAACTGTTCCAAAGTGGTCGGCCCTTAGATTCTGGAGAAGCATATATAACGATTCCATGTCAGCAAGAAAGAAGATGTGCAAAAGCAAAGCTTCTCCTCATCCCTATGCTGGAAGGATGGCCATAGCTCAAAGCCGTGCACACTGAGCTCAAGATTTCACAGTTTTGTAGTACGATGGGCAACGCATAGGTACGCCTGCTGCCCAGTAGTTGCTAAACCCTAAGCTCTCAACCCAAAAAGACTCGACTGTAGAGCCCAAAGGAAGCTGTTGCTCTTCAGGTTGGTCAGTCTGAAGCACGAAGTGACCTTCCTGTGCAAGGATCTCGATGGCGGAGCATGAACAACAAGCCCGAATCATCATAACAAATCACACGTTCAGACAAGTCTTTCCGTCGAGCTGACGACCATCAGCTTGGACACATGCAATTTCGATAGTGTGCAATGAATGAAGCCAGCAAAGATTCGAAGCCATTAATTACTTTCGAATCCTCACAAACAAGTCTCCGTCAAACCCCTGTTCCAGTGGAAGCTAAGTGTCATTGTGCCGAGGTCAAGCTGAAACCACGGGTTCTTCTCGCCGTGGGCTGCGCAAGGAGGCAGATCTCATAATTCGACTACCTGTATCATATAAATTCTCCGGGATATTGCCGAAGGCTTCTGCTCCATACACAAAAGGAGCCTCACCCCCGAGAGAACACCACAAACGTGCAACGATACTTTATTCACAAGGGGCAGGTTTCAGAGTTTATGTGTGTAGCAGTTAGGATTAGGGGACCCTTGGGGATATAGACACTCTCAATAAGATCCCGTTCAAGAGAGCCATAAGTAGGGTTAATAAGGGTCTCCTTTAAGGAGTGTCCCTAGTACTACCTAGGGGTGTTATCGTTGCAAGGCGAGTAAGCAAAGTAGTAGTAGTAGTCTCGATCGGGGGGGGGGAAGAGATTAAGCATGGCAGCTGCCTTCATACCGGAGAAAATAATGTGAAGAACCAAGGCTAATTACGAGCAGTTGTGAACGCAAGACGGTACCTGCAGATGCAAGTCAGCGACATTCCTCCATTGCACCAAGCGAGCACAACGACTGTAAAGTTCACAGACCCTATAAGCCCTAAGCCGAAGACCATAATGGTGTTGATGGTGGTAGTGGTGGCCGTGACCGTCCGGCCAAGACAGCAGTCCATCTGTCCGCTCCACACCCTGAGAGTACCTACAGCACTGGCCCTCAATCCAATCAACAATCGTATCCGAAATTTAGGATTCCAGAATTACAGGGTTTCTCAGGAAGTCCCATAGCGCTACTCCCCGTCCTACAACTGACCTTACGGGTCCACACACACCTATACAGAATTCAGGTTGGTCCTATAGCGCCTCTATACCCCCTCCTTAAGTTTGTACTACATGTGCGCATGATTGACCCTTGGGCTGATACTTTGCTCTTAAAGGGAGGCATTTCTGCAAGACCCCACCGCAAGCCCCACGCCTTAAACCCTGAACTCTATGAAACCCTAACCTCGAACACTTAATCCCTGAAGCACAAGATCCGTCTAACAAAAATCAAAACTACAAGCACCTTCTCACAGACCTGTGCACCTTCCGAGCCTTAACTCTCAAAAAGTCTGTAGAACCCTAAAAGCCCCACAGGCTCTATAAGGGCTACCATAGTGGATCTTTTTAGGGCTCTATGTGCGTCAGGGTTTACATATGTTTATATATGAGCCATTATAACCAACCACAAAACATTGCTATGTAACTCTGTCGGGCCAGCAAAAATGCTGCAAGCATCCTAACACAGCTCGCGATGCCAACCTGCATTCCAGGCGCTGCTGCACCGCGTCTCGGCCTGTTCCGTGGCTTTTGCGGATGCGTCAAGTAGCAGCGCTTTGGGGTTTAGATTTTGAGGGCTCTATAAAGATTGTATAGGGGTTCGGATAGAAGTACTATTTGCGCTCTCCCAGGGTGTAGGGGTACGGATTCAAGGTTCTGCTTTGTAGGTGTCTAAGCTCTGGGATTGGCGTTCAGGATTCGGAGTGCGAGGGCTCTTGGGAGGGGGGCGGGGTGTAGGGCCTACCTGTAGTCTCCATTGTAATTCCGTTTTCGCTTAACCAGTTGAAAGCTTAGAAGGTTCTATAACCCAGAAAGGAACTACAATGGAGACTACAGGTAGGGCTAGTAGCCACCCCACCCCGTTTTTCAAGGAGCAAACAGATAGCATCTGCTCCATCCTCCTTATGTTGGAGGACTGCTTCATGCTTTGGGGCTCTGGAGGTTCAGGGCTTCGAGGGTTTAGGGTTTAGGCTTAGGGCTCGCATCTTCCAATGTACCCATCCATGAATGTCATATTCCTGAGCTGGACTCTGTGGACTTCTATGGCTCGCAGAAACAAGTGCCAAAACCGCGAAGCAGGTTTGCAGGGTTGAACTCCACAGTTCTCAACCTAGACAGAAGCCCTCTGCAGTAGCCTCAGAGCAACAGTAACGGCATAAAACCCTGAACTCGAAACCCTAAAACCTAAACCTTAAACCCTAAATTCTAAACTCTGAGCCCTAGATTGAAGCTCCAGAACCTAGTTTTCGGGGCTTTGCACGTCTGTGCCATGGCCCGCCCTCTGTCAGAGAACCCACTCCCGAGAAGAGGCTGCAAGAGTCGCAGAACAAAAGCTGTGTTCTGACCTGGTTCCCAAACCCTACCTGAGCACTGAGAAGCCTGCAATTTGTGGGATGCTTTCTTGTGGCTTCGTTCTTTTTGTATATGTCATACGGTTAGTTCTCTAAATTAGGGCCCCCTTTTAAGTCCCAAAAATAGTACGGCACGCTTGCAAAAGTACCCCAAAGAAGGGGCCCTAATTCAGAGAACTGCCCAGGTGGGGTTCCCCCTTATCAGCCGAGCTCCTTGAAACCTGAACCGTGTATGCCAGGCCCTAAAGCTCAAAGCTCAGACCCGTGTTTAGGCTTTAGGGTTTAGGGTTTAGGGTTTAGGGTTTAGCCCTAATCCTCCAGGTATCTACCATATAGTGCCCCAGAGGCTCTAGGACCCTCTGGAGAGGGTACCTGGAAGGTGAGGGTAGGTTCTAGGGAAGCTCACTAAGGGTCATCCGCCCTGGTTTCACCAGCCCAGGGAACTAAACCGACTCGGCTTCAACACCCGGGGTTTAGGGTTTAGGGTTTAGGGAATTGTTGATGGTCTGTGTTTGTTACCGTCTGCCTTGCCATCCGCGCAGAAGCGAGGGAAAAAGTTCCTGAATAGTGATGTGTCGAAGACAGCAGAAGAAGTCGAAATCGAAATGGGGTTTGGAGTAAAATTAGGCCGTTGGATCCAAGCGTTCCTGAATGCAGGGCTTCAGTGCACATGTCGTAGCACTTGATTTTTAGACTGCTAGAGCGATGGTGTTACCAAAGACTGCTCTGGCTGTCAATTCCGGTATGTTGCAGGGCGCGAACCCTAGACCAGGAGCCAGGAACTATGCGTTTCCCATGGTTGTAGTAGTACAGCCTTGGGGCGATTCTGCGAAGCAAAACCCTATAAACCCAAACCCCTGTAAACCCGATCCCCAAATCCTTCACCCGCCAACTCTAAACCAAAGCTCAATCACCTAAAGGCTGAACCGCCCACAAACGCCGAAGATCCCGAAGCCGCAAATCCTAAAACGAGATGCGAACATGACGAAGGGATCCAAAGCAAGTGACCAACAAACAAACACACAAACAAACAAACAAACAAACATACAAACAAACAAACAAAGCATCCTAGTATTGTATGAGGTGAGACAGTGTGCAGGTAAACCTTCAGCCATCAGCCTTTAAGCCCACATCGCCCTAATCCGTAAACCCTAAGACCTATAAACCCTAAACCGCCTAAACCTTAATCATGCTCGGTAACCCAAAGAAAGAACTCATGGTCGGCTGCCCGTGGAGTGAGACCGCGGTTATGTCCTGCACGGAGCACACACAAGGGTTTAGGGTTCAGAGGTCAGGAGGTTCAGGGCTTAAGCATCTGGGGTTAGAGCAGGCCGATGGGGTTGATTTTGCGTTTTGGGTTCGCAGTAAACCCTTTGCAGTATGAAACGCCCCCCACATACATAGCCTCAATAGAGACCCATAGAGACCCTCAATCAAAAGGTTTGGCCTCCCTCCGTGGATAGACCCTGAGCCCTCAAACTCCTAGAGGCCCCCCACATGTACAACCATGAGTAACCTTAAACAGAGTCGAATCACTCATGAAGATAGTACTTTTGTGATTAACTGTGCTTTGGCTGACAAATCTGATGTAACTGTTTGGTTTGGACTAATATCGGGGCCTAAATAATTACCTATACTATTTTGGGGGCTCCTTATTATAATTATAGTATAATGGGCCCCAAAACCCTACTCTAATTATTAAAGCCCCTATATTAAACTAACGGCTTCCGGGCTCCCTGGCTACGGCCTTGAAGGGCTTCAGCTCAAAGAAATTGAGGACGCGCTTGCCGGGCAGCTGGACGAACACGTACCGGCCAGCCATTCCGCCGCAGGAAATCTCGAACCTCAGCAAATCCAGAGAATAAGTTTAGGGTTGAAGAGGATTAGGGATTACCCAAAGAGTCCATGTACCCAAATAGTATATACTTTGGCCATACAGTAGTCCCTAGTGGGTTACTCTGGGGCCAAAGTATATCCTGTTTGGGTACATAGACCTTTAGTTAGGGTTAGGGTTTTAAGTAGGCCAGGGTCAAGGGGCGTTTGTATGTCTAAACACTGAAGTCCTACGTCAAACCAAAACACTACAATTTGCAAACCTAACAAACCTAACTGAATAAGTGCCAAGGTCTATCTCTGCCGCTGTGTTTCTGTACATCTGCTTATATTTTGTCATGGATCTATGCATTGGTTTGTACATGAATAGACATATGCCGAACCGGACAAAAGCCCATGCAAAGGCCACCCAGCTGCCAGTCATCCTTGTAGAATCGCTCCGTGAGGTTGCCACAGATGTAGCCGTCACAGACGCCGTCTGCGAAGGTGCTCTACTTTTCTCGGCTGAAGATGAGGATTATGATGCTGATGAGAATCATGACTCTCAGGGTTCAGGCTTTGGAGTCTTCGTGTTGCTGTTTCGGATATGGTTTGGGTTTTAAGATGTTTAGGGATGATCACCTGCTGGCGGTGATGGCGATGGTAACTCGCGAGCATGATGGAAGCTGCAGGAGTCTAGGGGTGAAGGCCCAGAAGTTGAGGTATGTGAGCGCTGAACTTTTTTCTTGCTCTAGTCTGGGAGACTTTACATTCTTGGTTCGAACTACTCCAAAATCCGGAGGCCCTGAGCCTCTTTGCAGCACATGCTTGCGAAAGGCTATGTCAGGACAGGGGCATTCGAACCGAACCCTAAAGTCTACGAGCCCTGGCAGCCCTGAATCCCCACCTCGGAGAACCTAGAACTACCCAGCCCCATATTATACCGGAATCTGCGAGCAATAGACCAACAACCCCAAATCACGAAGCCCAAGCCCATATTACCCAGTTCTGCGCGCATGTGTGTGAACATAATATCGATACATATCAATACATATGTATATATATATATATATATTTTAATATGAATGTATGTGTGTCTCTTTATGCTTATGTGTATATCTGTACTTACATTCTTATACACACAGATCTTGAGACAGCAGCTGAACTCATCTTCCAGCCTTTGCAGGGCGTCATGCTCACTCCGAAGACGGCTCCATAGGGATTGCAATGCACGCCATCGTGGCTCTCTAGAGCTTCGCAACCTGGGTTTAGGGTTTAGGGTATAGGGGGCGGAAGAATTTTGCAATACTATTCGCTTATAGTCCCGGATATACGTGACCATTTTAATTATGCCGCCCTCAACCCCTACTGCCTTGAAGCCACCATAGTGGTGTTCAAGGGAATGGGGCTAAAGGATTTACATTTCCGGATCAAGGGTTCTGGGGTTTGGGGGTTTTGGAAAAATGTCCCGAATTCTTGAAAACCCGTACCCTAACCCTGCAAGCACCTACTATAGAGGGTACTAGAGCCCCTAAAACCCTTTGCAGTAGGTACCTGGAGGGTTAGGGGTAGGTTTGTTGGTTTAGGGGTTTCGGCTTCTCGGATTTAGGGTTGACCCGAGCGCCAAAAGGTTTGCGGCATGTGGGTTGGTTGGTGGTTGCGATGCACGCGTAATGTGGACCCCTGACCCTAAACCCTAAACCCTAAAACCCTAAACCCTAAAATCGTAAACCCTCCTGATCAATACATGGACTTTCCTTCGACTTTCGGAACTCCGGTGTGCACGTGGTTCAGGCCGTGCACGACTCAAAAAGAATGGACCAGGGCTTGGCCTAAATCCGCGAACCGACAACCAAGAACTTTACCTGCTGCAAGGCCCTGAAAACAAGATTGCAAAACTAACGGTCTCGTCCGAAGCTGCACGACCTCTCAAAAGCAGTGTGCTGTCCAAGTAGTCCGGCTTTAGAGGCGGGATGGCTGGAAGGGGCCATGTTAGCCTTATTTCGAACCCCTTTTCTCAGGATCCTGTGATTCAGGGTCACATCTTCAACGGCTAATTGCAAAACAAGAACCAGGCCTTTCCGCAGGCCTGAAGGCCCTCATCCTAAATACCAAACTATTTCTAATGTTGCTCTCGAGATACACGGCAGCAGGCGACGAGTTACGGTGTATGTGCCTGCGAGGACTAAGCTCTAAACCCTAAACCCGCGAGACGAAGTTCTGGAACGAAGATGTGGACGTGGAACCATCCGGCTTGGCGAAGAACTGGATCTTCTCCTCAGCATGCGATGCTACCAAAAAATTGGGTATTACTGTCAAGGCTGACACGATGTATGTATGTATGTATGTATGTATGTATGTATGTATGTATGTATGTATGTATGTATGTATGTATGTATGTACACATGCATACATGCAAACATGGATGTATGCATGTACGCATGTATACATGTACGCACGTAGGCATGTAATACACGTGTAATATATATATATATATACATATAAGTATACATGCATGTGTGTATGTGCGTATATGTGTTTAGGTGATATTTGTGTATGTGTATGTTGTACAACTACCGACAGATATGAGCTCTTGCAGCTTACTTCCCTAGTGCATGTTAGGGTTCTTCTGGCACACAAGAAGTTTGGGGGATATCAGCTTTGTACCTTCACTTGGAGACCTGAGCGCACCACCTGCTTCAACATGGAGAGGATGCAAGAACTGGCATGACTTGTATTGTTACAATACCCTGTGGCTTGTCTATATGTGTGTCTGTATGAGCTGTAACTGTCATCATAAGCACATGTATGAATGCTTGTGTGCACATATGCATATCTGTGTGTGTGCAGACAACGGTATCTGTACAGCTGTATGCAGGTGACAGTGGAGATTAAACGCATGACATGGATCAAGGCACCTGACCGGGAACAACTGCCCTTTGCCGCTATTAAAGCATTGCGCTTTCGAGCTTCTGGAGACGCCCAGCCTATAGCCATCAACTGCAAGCACCCCTCTCAACAGCAGGCCGCACAGAAAGACTGTCCAGATTGAGTACCTTTCGCCATAACTGAGCAAGGCAAGCCGCAATGGACTCGGGCGTGTGCAGGTCGACTTGGTACCAGGGGTCCGGCTCGCCACGACCTGCTGGGTTGTTGCTCTAAGAGCTTTCTCCACTGAGGCCGTGCTTTCAAGAATGGTGGGCCTTGGGGAGGCTCGGGCCGAGGATGTATTGGGCACGGGAGTTCGCTTCCGGCCAAGTTCTGCGTTGGGGATGAGGTTTCTGTTTCTCGCAGGAAGCCCTAGATGCCGATGCCGAGTTTGGAGATCAAGGAGCTATGCTCGATTATCTAACATGCATGCAAGCACACTGGCACCCGATTTCGTCTATGAATACGGAAGTGTGCGTGGCTGGCCGGGATGATGGTGGATGGGCTATTCTATAAGGTTAAGCAGGCTTGAAGACTGACACTACAACTCTCCAGGCCCCTTTATGGGTAGTTTTCTAACTTAGGGTCCCTTTTCGGATCCATTTTATAAGGGTGCCGTACTATAGTGGGGACCCCAAAAGGTACCCTATTTTAGAGAACTACCCAAATGCACCAAATCACATACGGCCTTCATTCCAAGCGGTGCTGCAGCGCGTGGTCTCGTCATCATCGGAGCAGTAGTCGGCAATGGCGCCCTCGTAGACGGAACCTGCTTGGACAAGTTAATGTAGTAGGGGCCTTAACAACTAGAATAGGGTTGTGGGCTCCTTTATCAAATGAATATGATAAGGACCCCCCCCCCCCAA